TTCCTCTGTTTGCAAACTGATTGTGATAAAAGAGTGAATGAAGCAAACACAGGCAGACTCACTGAAAGTGCATATGTTGAATAAAGTAATGTTCCACTAAAGAGAAATAGTACTTTGATGTATTTTTATAATCAGTGTTGTTAAGTGAATGATTCACAGACTGACGACAGAGTGGAGGGTGGAGCGGCCTGGATGCTTTCCGCTCTCCCTCAGAAACAAATTAACACTGAGGCACAACTTTGCATAATGTGCAAATGCAGAGATGTGCTTTCACATGTACACAGAGGTACACACGCACATTCACTCGCACCAATCTGACCTATGAGTCATTCTGGCTGTGCTTCAGATGCCCCTCTCCCTCCCTCCTAACCCAATGGATGTCACAGATGGATGCAGCAGACAGCCGCAGTCTTAATGCTGCTTCCTGTCTCTCTCTGGGCACTTAGCAACCGCTAGGCTCAGGCCGAGTTTAACCGGCAATTAAAGGTGCAGTTCATCACTGCTCAGCATCACAGAGACGGACTGGACAAAACAAAACAAGAGCATTGAAAAAATACCCACAAACACTGAATGTAAAAATGGATTTTAATCAATGATATTTCCAGCCTGTAAGGAGGGGCTAATGTATGTCACCAGCTGCAGAAGTATCTGACAGGAATTAAAAACTTGCCTCCTCTTTGGACAGAATGACTCACAGCTTTATGGGAATTTGAAATTGGCCAGTCTGTTTCCTGAATGGCTCTTCTGTGGTCAGGTTACTGCTAACTGCAAAAAGAAAAAGGCACCTCTTTGCAAGTTGGGTCAATAAATTATAAACATGTCAGCTTGGTGTAAAATGTATCCAACCTTTGGTTTCAAACGCACTGATCTTCAGTCAGTCTTTACTGTGAGCTAACACTATCAGCACAATGTGAATTCAACCTTCCCTCTGTCATAATTCAGATTGAGATATGACATCTATCAGTGCAAGTCTGACTAATTCAGAAAATGCCATAAAGGTGTCTGTCAGAATCACACCAGAGGCATTGTGGTTACCGGTGCAGAAAGACCCAATATTTGGATGTTACTGCTGCTGTCAGTCTCTGTCAAACATAAATCATTTATGTAAAATACATGTGTACCAATATATAAAAAGCATTTAAGTACATTTTAAGTTCTTTAAATCAACTGCATCATACTGTAGTATCTTAGCAACGTGTCAGGCAGCTGTTGTTCCCTTTTGACGGCAGAGCACATCTTTTCAGACGCTTGTAAACAGGAAGTGTCACAGCTGTTAATCTAATATGTTATGGCAGTTTGTTGGTCCTCGCCAAGTCGAGGGTGGAAGACTGTCACGTTGACAAACTTAGGGGTGTATTCTAGAGGAGGAACAGTGCTTCAAGGTCACCCAAAACATTTAGACTGGGAATAATGGTCGCATTCAGTAACGAGTAAATGTAACACCAATAAACGGTTACAACAACTTGCTATCCATTTTCTGAATAGATTCAACTGGTGGTGTACACAGTAAGACAAATAGACATCCGGTATAAAGTGATCCAACACAAGACCACTGCAATATATAAGGCTTTTTTTTGTAAAACTGTCAGAGATGTGATGATTTGAGGTCATGACAGACAAGCAGATGTGAAGGCTTTCCACCCTGACAGCATCCCGAGGGCACTGATAACACTGAATGTCACTGAGAACTGACTGAAGAACCTGTTAACCTCCAGAAAGATATTACATACCAATTTGTTTACCGCCCTGTGCGCCTGCAGGACAGAAGGAGCTGAGGAGAAGCCAAGAAAAAAAGCACTAGTAGAGGTGAAAATATGGAAGACAGCTATCTGGGTCTTGTATATGAGCGAACACACCTGCTAGCCTGAGGTGTGAACAGCAGTAGCTATGCTTATCCGAAGAGGCATTTAACCTTCATGACGTGAGTGGTGTCGTTGTGAGGTCCCTGACCAAAGGTCTGTGAATTCAAAATCCAACAAAGTATAAGAACAAATTAAAATTAAAAACTGCATTTACACCAGGCCTATGACGGTGTCCATGAACTTATTGCTACAACGGTATCTGCACAACAGGCAGTGGAAGCCAGAAAGTAGGACCTGATTAGATTTTTTTCTGACCTCAGAAAGGAAGTAGCTAATAATAAATGATTCAAGAGATCTGTGTGGTGGGAGATCTGGGATAGAGAGACAAATCAATAAACAGAAGGAACAGATACTAGAATGAACTAAAAAAAGGAAGGTTGTAGCAGCTTCAGGTTACAAAAAGTGCAACTTTCCCATTTCATGGCTGAAATGGGAAAGTTTAATTTTATTTCTTTCATGCCTGCTGCACATTCTAAATCATTCCTGTGTTCAAAAACAGAGGGATCAATGTGAAATCAATAAGGATCATTGTCTTTTTACATGACTAATTTCTTTTTTGTGATTAGGGAGTTGAACAGAGATGTTTTATGACCACAAGTCAACCAAGCAAGTGTCATCGTTTCCAACATAAAAACTTGGAGCAAGATCAAAATAAAAAATAAAAAAACATCTAAATGCCAAATTGTTTTTTACTTTAAAGACAAGCAGTTTTTGGTATCCAGCAGAACGACCAGAGCAAGAAAAAGATCTTTTTTGTTCTTTGATATTTCAGTCTGGAACAAAGTAATAGACCAAGAGATTCAATCCTAGATCCCGCTACAACCATGACTGAAAATCCATTTGATGATGTAGACATGAAGAAATGTATTTCATTTCCCATCAATCCTTTACCTGACATCTAAATTGTGTTCCTACTCCAATTCTGACACTGAATTATGGAACGAAGAAGTGCAACATCAAATTCAAAGCATTTTTGTCACAATTTCGTCAGTGTCTCTCATATGGTAGTTTTCTTCTAGTGGCAGTACATATACAGTATTGTGGGTTCCCCCGTGCCTGTCTAATTGCTATCCACTATGGCTCTAGAGCAGGGGAGGAATTCCCTGCAAATAGACCATGAAGCCAGAGAGCTCAGACTGGGGCTTTGGTTTTATCCCTGCAGATACGCTAACGAATCAACTAAGCTCTTTTCTGTGATGCCAGGCCTCACCCTCTCCTCTCTATCTTCTGTTTATCTTCTGTATAAATACTGAATAATAATGCAATATGGTTTATTTCAGGAAACTCAAGTGTGGCCCCCTGAGCCTTTACAAGCATCCCTGCTGCTTTCTGATGTGTTGCAGCAGAGACAGGCTGTTTCTTAGATATGACAAGGGGAAGCAAAAAAAAAAAAAGAAAGGGGGGGGGGTTATTTTTTGCCTTTCAGGGAGAGGTAAACAACTACATTTTCCTTATGTGTAAAAAGAACAACATCTGCTTTGTGACTAAGATGAAGGAAAAAGGCACAGGCCTTATTCAAAAATAGCAACATCAAAGCCCAGATTCATGAAAAGGCTACATGACGCTATACTGTATTTCATAAGCAGTGACATATGGATGCTTTTTTACAGTGCTAAAACAAAATTCTGTGACCCTTACAGTGTATGTGAGAACAATGGTAATGCTTTAAGATGCACAGGGCTATAAACCAAGGAAATAGAGAGTGTGTGCTCCCTTCCATATAATCCCTGTATCTGTTTTTAAACTTTCCTCTTATCTGGGTCTCATCAGCTGCCTTAGGCAAGAAAAGCAAGAGAGAAAAGAAATGTGGTATACATCACAGAAGGACGATCATGCACCATTCTACCATTACTCTGGTAAAGTCATGTTGCTGTATGATGTATTGTGACAGCACTGATAAAGAGTGGCCAAGTAGACACAAAATGCACAGGTGGTGAAATAAAGAAAACACTGTCTAACTGCCTACTTGTGAGACTTTTTCTGATAAAGTTTACTTTATCTCTTACTATTGATGAGAGAACAGTTAACACCAATCCAGTAGGTATGGTGCCCCAAAATGTTCAACAATAAATAAACAAACAAATAAACAAAAATGTGGTTATGAAATATTCACCTGAATAAATTATTACAACTCTAATTCATTATAATGAAATTAATTTTCATAACTTTGTAATTTCAATTATTATTTTCATAATGACTTTAAATTGTGTTAATTTAATGGAAGTGTAAATCTGTCACTGGCTGCAGTCACGCTGACCTTTTAGCCAATGAAAGCCTGTCTTTAGCTAGCCAGCTCAACAACTGCTACCAAAGGTAGCCAGTTAGCTCTTAGACCAACAAATTGTCATTTTGAATCAGCCAGCTAAAAGGCTGCTGCTGTAAACAGCAGTACATAGACACAATAACAAATGTTATTTATCTTAACAAGGCTGTACATAGCTAGCTAGCTAGCTAGCTGGCTAATGTCTTCTTCTACTGCATGTTTGCAACATAAGCTCGCCACACATTCTAGCTAGTTAGCTGGCAGATAGGTATCAGGTAGCCTCATTATGTTAAAACAGAAGATTAGTCACTGTGGTTGATTCAAAATTACAGTGACAACATTGTGGTTGCACTAGCTTACGGTTCATTCTGGACATTAGGAAACCCACAAAATAATTGCAAAATAAAGAAGATAACATCACTGCCATTGGTAGGATGACACTGTTATTCCTCACCACAACAAATGTACTGTACACTTCATTTATACTTCATCACAGCTTTCAAATAACACAAACTTCTCTTTCCGACAGGTCAGCACAAGAGCAAATGCCATCAATACAACAGATCACACAGATGTTTTGTAAATTGTATATACACTGTGGAACATAATGCCAGAATAACAAGAAATGACATTAATCTCTGACTCACCGAAGCAGACAGGTCAGCCTCTGTCTCCAGATCCACTGGGGCCGAACAGTAATGACATCTCCCATTTACTCGGGCCGGTGCTGGATGGATTTCTGGTGTTGTGGCCTGAGGTACCCAGAATATTGTCTTCGGCGATCTCTCCTGTTCAGTGGTGCGAATTCTTAAACAGCAGGTGGCCAGTTTATTGATGTACTTGCTTCAATTGTTTCGGAGTCAGTGTCCGGACATGGTAGGGCCAGTATGTGATCTTCACAGTTGCTTGGAGGCACCATGCTAACATTAGCGTTAGCCACCATAGACTTATGGAATATATTCCGTGAGTAGCATGACTGCCTCTTTGTTGTTGTGTGCCTTTTTGAAAAATCCTGTTATCTTTGATATTTTACTCATGGACTCGCTTGTCTTTTTCTTTTTGAGCATTTCGGAGTACCTCTCTCCTGTCTCCTAGATTCTGCCATGGTGACATACTTTTCATTCAGGATATCGGCGGAACGGTTCATTATGTCACCTGACACCAAACTGACCAATCAGTGTCAAGAAACATCTCCGACTGACCAATCAATCAGTGCACATGATCCGGGCCCCTGGGCTTCAGGTAGGCTAGCAAGGAAAAACAGATTTATTAAAGTAGGCAAACTGTTTTATTTTTACTGCCTTCGATTTTGCACTTTTTTGTACAAATTATAGAATAACTTTACTTCTTTGGGATTCACTGGATCTGAACGAAACTGTCCAACATGAAAACGATGCTAAGTGATTGCAAGTAAACACTGTTTTGTTTAAGGAGGCTGGAAACCACAGCTCTTATGGGCCATATGATTGCTGACAAATGTTAGTCATAAAAAGTGACATTATGAAATACAAATCTGACTTAAAAACTGTCAATGGGAAATATCCCATTGTAAAATAAAAACAGACTTTTGTGGAAGAAAATAAAAACTGTTAATAACCCATACAAAGGAAGAATGAGATATCATTATAATGAGGTTGAGATAAATTGTTTCTGTAACTATTGTTATCCTCTGATTGTTTCTGTTGTATTTTCCTCACAAAGCATCAGTAATCTGGGTGACTCATGCTCCTGTGGATGACAAATAATCGTTACCTGCAGTGGGCCTCTTCTTTGCATCAGAACAACAAACAACATGAAAATGGATTTGATGACGGTTACATTATGTTTTTTAGGTGAAGCACTTATAAATTTGCATCCTGGGGTCTTTTAATGGCTGTCTTAAAAAACTGTTTTATAAATGCCAGGCTCTTTGTGTTCTTCACTTCTTCACCTTCGTTCTCTCAGTAGTGCACATTCAGTCTCCTGTAGTCAAGTGTAAACCACCCAGACAGATGTGAGGGCTGTACACATGCAGTTTTCAGAAATGACTGGCTCCATTGTTTTCATTGTTTCAGGGAAAGGTGACAAAAATGGTTGTTTATGTGCCCTTGTGTGCTATAAATGCCTCGGAGATTCTCTGACACAATCTGGTGCCACATCTCACATTTCACAAAAGAGCAAAAACTGATGCATTACATTTATTCCAACACACACACGCTCACAATCGACTAAAAAAAAAAAAAGGCTGACGTCAAACCCTGTAGACCCATTCACAACCTTTCCCTCTCCCTCCCTCTCCCTCTCTCTCTACATTGTGCTTGCCAAGCTTCTGACAACCTGAGTTAAGGAACAGACCTATTCATTGGAAATGGATGGGGAGCAGCAAGTCAGTCACCAGGGACAAGAGAGAAAAGGTAAAGAGGAGATGATGCCACAACCAGGAGAGGTGAGTCTCTGTGTGTACAGCAATGTATTTTAAAGGTTCTGAAATTTTACTTTCTCAATCCTCTTCTTCCCAACAGGAATAGGGTCCTACATGGTCTTACTGGTTTGAAGTGGGTGGGGCTCAATTGGGAAAAGGTGACGTCACTTACCTCTGTGTACCAGTCAGGATTTAGCAACATTTTAAACCAAGACTGATATCTTTTGTTGGGTTGTTTGTTCACTGTTAATTTTTTGTTTGTTTATAGTACTTTTATTTAATCTTTATGTCCCATTGAGATCAAGATCCCTTTTTCAAGGGAGACCTGGCCAAGATGGCAGGCATACAAATTTGCACTATATTAAAATTCAACACATACAATACAATATGCAAAAGATAAAAAGATAAGAAGACAATAAAAACAAGATGAAATCAGTGGACTCTCAAGAAAAACAGCTATGTCTCCTTTATCACATTCTTTATGATGTCCTTAAATTTTACAACAGCTATGAATGTGTCTAACTTTGGATCTTTCTGCAAGTTATTCCATGACCAAGGTGCATAGTAGGAAAATGCAGTTTTCCCCAGATCTGTAAAAATTCAAGGTCCCTTAAAAAATGAAATCTGATCAAATCTAACCAGTTCCAGTGATGTAGAATAGTCATTTTGTTTCATTCATCAGAGCCACAAAAGAAACAATAGTTTTCACAGCTCTTGATCATCATGTGTAAAATCAGTGTAATGTCCCTTTAGGACTGAAAAAGTTTATAAGAGTGAGTGAACAAAGCAAAATCATTAGGAATTTTTATCCATCCATCATTGCTAATGAAATAAAACAATCCCTCCTCAAGGTCACTTACTCATGTTTTCCAGAGCTTTTAACTGCATCAAAAGGTCTTCATCAGTGGAGTGAGCTGCCATGGAGATGCCTATTATTCACTATAATTTCATAATACTGATTAAGTGTTTATTTAATGATATTTTATATTTTAACATGTACTTTAACTGCTGATGAACATTGTGTAATATGGTTGAAATTTCCAGAAGAAGCTTTTACTTGGACTTTGAATTGTAATGTCATTGAATGTAGAATGTTATCTCAAACTTTTATTATTCAGTTTTATGTTTAAACCCATACCAGTCTTATAAGAGAGACCCGGAACTCAAACAAGAGTCATACCAGCCCCTTTACATCCAATATGTTATAACGAGACTGTAACCTGAGATGAAAGTACACTTTTTTGGTTGGAACAAACTTCAGATTCACTATCTTACAGAAACTGTGACCCCAAACGCTCACACACAAACAGAAAAACTACTAATTGCAGTAAGAAACTTCTTATTTGACCTGAGAAAAAAGCGGCCAGGCAGTAGAAATGGGGGTGGAAGTGTGCTGTAATTGGATTCTGCTTACCAGTAATCCTACCACAGTCACAACCACAAGCAATTAGCCAGATAGAACAGGCTCTATCTGTACAAAACTGGCCCTGTGTGCATGTACTGCATGTGTATGAGTGTTATTCACAAGAGTGAATGTAATTATGCTGAAGGAGATATGAAATTAAAATGAGCTCTTTTGTCCTGGTTTCCTCTGATCTCCTGGTCCTTAAACATCTGGTATGACAACCTTAGAAAGTTAGACTTTATTCTATCAAAGGTTACTCTCACTGCGGTCTTTTGGAAAAGACATCAATAATGTGACTCAATATTTATCCTTATCTAGAAGCTGTGAATGTGATAAGACGAAGCCTTTAAAGTTCCTCAATGATTTTGAAAGGGTGTGTATGACTCACCAGTCTTTTGTTCCTCTACATCAAGCACAGTGGTTTTGAAGCACCAGATATTCATCTTTTCATTTCTAATGTGTCCGAATCTTTTTAGTGCCTAAAAAAAATTCAATGTAAGGATCAATGTATAACAAATACTCCAAACCAGAAATAATGATACAAATTTTACCATTAACAGATTCTTGTTTACACTGGATTTTATGAGTCATTATGGGAAGATGAAGAGGATGCCTTTTCTGGATAAGAAGAGCTGTTTATAGGCTGTGACTGTGACAAAGCTGAAAACAAGAAAGCTTTGCTGAATATCAGACAAACAGGTTGGCGGTGGATAGCCTGAGCTCACATCAAACACAGCAACAAGGGGGATTTATGAATGAGACTGTAAGCAAACACATGCACACACTGAGCAAGATTTGACTAGCAGCCAAAAATAGAGAGCTTGCTGGCTGGAAGTAAAACTCCTCTCTGTCTCTGTCTCTCTCTCTCTCTCTCTCTCTCTCACACACACACACACAAGTAGACGCACATACGTCTCACTGCAGTCACTCTGTCACCCCACCCATCTGCAGTTTCCATATGTGAGTCATCAGTGGACTTTAACTGTCTCTGCCCCACCTGCTGCAGCAGAAAGCGAAGCCAACATCCATTCAACAGTCTCTACTACAGTGGGAATTACTATGCTCTGAGCTTACAATACAGTCCGTGACAAAGCCAAAACATCTGTTATTGAACATTTATAATCAATTTAACACCATTTATTTGGCAACTTAGCACAGATAAACACTCAAAAGGTGAATTTATTTACCCTAAGCAGCTTTCATTCTACCAACATAGGCTGTTGGAAGACTTATGGTTTTTAAAAATGGTCACAACCTGCCACCATATTAAAGAAACTAATAAATACCATCATGAGACAGACTCACAGGACAGTCATTCAGTCAAAGCTCCTAAATATAGCTCCATTATGAATGTATTCATTTCACCATGCTGCGACAAAAGCAGTCATGCAGCCACTGAGATGTAGCCTACTCACTGAAAACTAGTTTCGGTGCATAGAGAGAAGCAGTTTTGTTTGGCTGACTGAAATGAGTGTGAGTGTGGGCTGCTTTTACTCGTGTTGTGGGGACATAAATGTGTTTAAGCTACACAGTCACCTTCTGGGAACTCAACATCCTTATGAGGATACAAAGTAAACCCCCCCAAGCTACATTCTTACATTTCAGAGTGACGACTTGGTGTAAGTATTAGGCAAGTTGTGGTTACGGTTAAGGGTAGGATAAGTCAATGTAATGTCCCCTCAAGTGATGGAAACACGACCTTGTGCGTGCGTGTGTATATGTGCGTGCACGTGTTGCGTAGGTCCTGCTCTGTGACGCTCGAGTCAGGTGGTTCCTCTAATAGCATGAAGAGCTGTCCGCGGTGCTGAAACCAGACTCACGCTGCGAGGAAGAGAGATGCTCACAACTCTCCATACAAATTGATTACAAAGGTAAGAGCTGGTTGTTATTAATTGCATTGGCCACATTACGCTGCTCTACATATGTTTCCTGTCCGATGTCCTACGAATAGAGATTTGTTTTTTTAGTTACTTATTAAACTGCCTTCTTCTACACTAGCTGTTCTCCAACCTGATGCACCGCCACAGATGTTGAGACGAAGGGGTTGCCCGCAGCGCTTCTTTGTTCTCATTTCGCTTCAGATTATTTTTAGTTGCTGGCGTTCTGTATCTTACCATTTCTACTTTTCTGTAACGCATTAGGGGAAAAAAAACAAGCTACATAAAGTTCGGCAATTTAATTCCAGGTTGGGAAAATGAAGGAAAAGTAAACAAAGAGAATGACACCAATTTCTTATGCAGCGTCGCTTCTGGTCTCTTATTTATTGTTTTTATTCGCCTGTTTTGGAAAACGTGTTTTAAAACCGTTTCAGGCCAACTTTCATTCTGCATGTATTTGCATTATAACATTTTAATGCATTCTACTTGCATGGCTCATAAAAGCCCGTTGGCAGACTTCATCCCAATGGCCAGTTTGTAATAAAATAATAGTTTTTAATTTGAGTTAAAACTTGAAAAACAGTCACGACTGGAGTTTAGATTATTTTCATCGGTTAAAGGAGAGGATCCATGAGAACATCTGCCTTATGGGGTTACCTTGACAACGGGAGAGCAGCAATTTAAGGACTAATAAAATTTGCACCAGAGCAGAATGCAGCTGCTATTATTGCTGCTGGTAAACAGGCGGCAGGATGCCAACATGATCCTCAGTTACCAGCAGCATGCAGGAAAAGGAAGGGATACTAATACTCTGGGTTAGAGTGCACAGAGACAACCCATCATATCCCATTTACAGTGATTATTATTACTAGTTCATAGAAGACTGACCACCAGTTGCTTCTCAACAGCCATTCACCTTCTTCTGTTGCTGCATTTGTTGTCTTAGCTTTCATACAAACCCTAAGTGATACATAAAACATGACAACAAATTTTAAAATATATTTTAGGACTAAAACAAAAAGAGCATAGTAAAAATAAAGTCCAGTTGGAGTTATTGTTACCATAGGAGTAGACTGGGTTTATTTAATAGATAGGCTATTTAGGAGAAATACTGTATAGAGAATATTTATATTTTATTTATGTAGGTACTGTTGTTATGAGCTCTTTGACCCGGTTTATACGAGGGGAAAAATCATGGATCAGATTTCCAATGTGATCCCCTGCCTTCAAATCCATGTAAATGTCTTGGCAGTCTGTGGTGTTATCACCAGACCAAACCAGCTTAATGCAAAGGTCAGAGCTGATATGTCCATCCTGGTCTTTCCTCTGCAGGCATCACCATGCCGTCATTCCCTGAGACCTCCACAACAGGCAAACTCTTCCTCATCTGTTTTGCCAACATCCTCTTAATTCTCCTCTTCCTCAGTTCCTCTGGTGTTCATGGGGCATCACTCAGAGAGCACAGACTGAGGGTAAGTGAATCAGACTCCCAGAGAGGAAACGCCCACCAGGCTCTTGATGCCGACATGCTCAAAGCACTGGAGTACATCGAGAACCTCCGTCAGAGAACCAGCACAGACTCCCAGCAGCGCGTCCCTCTCTCTGCAGGTTACGATGATGCTGAAAAGCTGCGTGCCATGCTAGGACTAGCCTCTAACCCTATGCAGAGCAAAGGGGAGAGCGAGGAAGAGGAGGGAAGGGAGGACAAGAGTGAAGAGCTGCTCCAGGCTGTGCTCAGCACCCTCCAGCAGACAGAGAAGGCTTCCAAGCCAGCTTCACTTCACCCCAGTGTAGAAGGAACGAGCGAGAAGGGAGGTATGCATCCCAGGGTGCAGCAGAAGCAACATGGCATCACGCTTCACAAGAAGCTGCCATTAATGTTTGAGGATGAGGAAGAGGGTGAGGGGGATGAGCAAGAGGAGGATGAAGGGCCAGATTTGGAGCATGAGAGTCCTTTCAAACGCACCAATGAGAACGTGGAGGAGAAATATACGCCTCAGAACCTGGCAACACTGCAGTCCGTGTTTGATGAATTAGACAAGCTGACTGGTGTGAAAAGCACACATAAACGCCAAGAAGAGGAGGATGACGTGGAGGAGGAGGATGAGGAAGAAGATGATAATGTGTTTAATCTGAGGAATGTGGCATACGATGATGGAGGCGGTGATCTTGCAGACTGGGGTCCACTAAAAGAACAGGAGGAGGAAGAGGAGGAGGAGAAGGACAAACATGAGGTTGAACGAGGGCTTGATTATGTTGACAGTGATGATGAAGCCAACGAGGAGGATGAAGAGGAAAATGATGAAAGGTACCCAGTCAAGAGGTCAAGAGATCCAGATGATGCAGGCAACCTAGTGGACTATTACCTTCTGAAAGTGCTCGAGAAAACAGAGGAGGAAGAGCAGAAACGAGAGATAGAGGAGGAGGAAGAGGAGGAGGAGGAGGAGGAGGAGAAGAGGGCTGAGAAGAGAGTGGCTCAGACACAGTACAGAGACACCATAGACCCACAGGCCATCTACCAGCTCATTCAGATTTCCCAAAAATACCAGATCCCACCTGAAGACCTGATGGACATGCTCAAAACTGGAGAAATGCCAAATCAAGACAAGTCACAAAAAAGCAACAAATTAGCCAGAGTACAAAACAAGGTCTCTCAGACACCCACAAAGAAGACACACAAGAATTCTGAAGCTAAATTCTACAACAGACGCCTGCCTGACAGACAAAAATCCCCAGAGGAGCTGAGGACACAAGAAATCCTGAACATCCTTGGGTTAGGGAGTGTGGAGGATCAAGCTCCTGTCAGCAAGCTGAAGCAGTACAAAAGCTCACTGTCACGACTTCACACTCTGCCTCCTGGGCGTTCAGGGGAATCCAATCCCACGCAAAGGCGCCTTCCCAGCACATTAAAGGATGACTATGACGACAGCATGGACGAGGATGAACTGGCAGCCTATTTAGCAGCCCAGATGCTGGCACAGTATCCAAACCCTGTGTACAGCAACAACAAGGCAAGTCAAAAGCGGGAAGAAGCTGGGCAGAGTGTGACAGGCTCCTTTGAACAGGCCATGCAGGATTATTTTGATCAAATGGACACAGATAAAAACACAAATGAAAGAAGACAGTCTGAGGATGACGAGAGGGGCCATGAAACGCAAATGCAAGGCTTTGATAATGAGGCAGTGATGAAATTGCTGAGCTACCTGAATCCAGAAACTGAAGAAAGTGATAGTGATGCCAAAACTGCCTAAGGAGTCCTGTACAAATAAGGCTGTATATACATATACATATACATATAGTGTTTTGGTGGAAGAAGAAGGTGAAAATAAAATATTTTGAAAAAAAAAAACATGCAATCAACTATTGTAGGTTTACAAAAGTTCTTATTTATTACCAGAAATACAAGTGTTTGGACATTAATTTGATGCTTTTTTTAATATGTTGCTCAACAACACTTAACAACCAGTACATGTGACTCACCAGCCTAATATTAAAACGCACACACAACCAAAATCAGTGTTGGATCCCTTAGATTCACTTGTGTTTTTTGGTCATTCTTACTTAAATGTGATCTTATGTGATATAACTGAGGTTAATAAAGCATTGACTTTATTTTTTCCTTACTGTGTAGTGTTTATTTATTTACTCACTGTGCAGCTGCAGAAACATAAACGTGCATTAACTGTGATCTTTAAATATCAAAAATTATTAGGATAAACTGGAAAAAAGGACGTACCTCCTGTCATAAAACCCTGAGATTGATAAATATGAGGCTTGAAAGGCACTTATAGGTGCAATGACAATTAGAATTCTTAAAGTTTAAAGCTACAGTATGTTACTTTTTCAAATATTTTTGTTGTAGAAATCTGCTCCAGAACTTGTCTTTATGTGATGAGGTACTGTCGAAGCCTCCTGTGACCCAGACTCACTGAACAGCACTGGCAGCAGTGCAGAGATATTAGTTTCTAAAAGGTTTTGAGCAGGATTAACCTCTTTAACCAATCAAAGATGATCAATTATTTCTGCTTGATCAGTAAGTTTTGTTGTATTCTCATTTCTTGTAACTTCATAATTACAAATATCTGAAGAGCTGGGCAGTGCGTGGCAGACTGATTTTGAGTTTCATGTTAATGCTAGCTTAAGTTGCATGCTGTAGCTTTAAGCATGAACAAATCATCAGGACTGTGGATTTGTATGATCACAGTACTGTGCCAAATGACTCACTATTAGTCATGAACAAATATTCCAAACTTTTTGGTTCAAGTCTTGAAATGTGACATATTTGCATCCTCTCTTGGCTCAGTAGGCAGGTTTACTCATATATTCCTCCACGGTCTGTGGTGAGAGAAGAGGTATATGAGCACATTTCACATTAAATTCAGTTTTATTTGTATAGTGCCGCTTTAAAGCAAAAATCATTTCAGGGCACTTTACATAAACAGGTCTAGACCTTACAGTGTTATAGAGAAAAACCCAACAAATCCCCTTTGAGCAAGCACTTGGCGACAGTGGGGAGGAAAAACTCCCTTTAACGGAAGAAACCTCCGACAGACCCGGGCTCTTGGTGGGCGGCCGTCTGTCATTGACAGGTTGGGGTGAGTGGATAGAGGAGGGAGAAAAGAAAAGCATCAAGACAATAAACAAACATGAGTAATAACAAAACCTGCATTATCCAAAGGCCTGTGAAAGTTCACTATACCTCCTGGAGTGTGTCCGCCTCCTCCAGGCATACACCCACAGCTGCTTTGGAAGTTTCTAAGATTTCTCCTCCCATCAGGAATTCGTCCAGGATGAAGTAAGCCTTCTCAAAGTTGAAAATGATGTCCAACTCACACACCTGATAGAGGAACAAAGGGCAATACATCATCCATTATACTAGAGATAAGCTAGTGGTATGGGAGGTAATTTTACCCATGAGTGAAAATGATGAACAATTATTTTGTACTATGAATGACCAGGGTCTAACTGAATATTATAAAGAATAGAGTATTGGCAAGCTGATGAAAGAATGAAGTATGATTTCCTAGAAAAAGATCCTTATGGACACCAGGGGGAGACTGGCTGGTAAAGAGCACAGGCATGTTGATGTGCAGAGAAGCAGCTCCTGCTCAGTTTTACAGGAGTTTTAACTGCCTCTAACTTCCCTCTACTGCGCAAGACCTGGATGACTGATTGTTGTCCGAGACAGTAGTAAATCTGCCTTCTCTATTTTCTTTATGTTAACATGATTTAAATACAGTATTTGTGTCAGTAGAATAAATTAATTCATGTATTTTCCTAATGTCTTTATTAATTTAAATTTTGGATTGGACTATCCACCGCCCGTCCATCCATTATTCATTAATTGTACAAAAATATTTCAGAACAGAGATCATTTCTGTGAAATGACCTGACACCTCTTACAGAGGGACAAATTGGACCGTTAATGTTCTTACTGTACACAAAAAGTTTAGTCACCTCATTATTTCAGAAATGGCTCCAACCCAGGCCAACCTGAACAGAAGTCTGATTAGCCAGAATAATTGAAAACATCTGTGTTTGTGTAGTACCGACTATACAGACGCTATAAAAAAAAAGGACTGTCAATGGCCAGTGAATTCTGTTTGGACCAAGACATTTAGCTCTACTCACATTGCCAAAGTATTTATCCAGCAACTCAACATATCTGTGCAGCACTTCAAGGGTCAGCAGCTCGTTATCCTGGTTGTCCAGAGCAGCACAGAAATACAGACTGGCGTACCTGTTAGCCAAAAGGATAAAGGTCAGATGTTACTCAGTAGTTGCCAAAATGTTGTCAAGAAACCAGGACACATTACAAGCATGTATGGATATCCAGGGAAATTGTCTAAGTAGAGAAATGTTTTGCTGAAAAACAAGCACAGAATACAAATTCGACCACTGAAGAATCAATATGCATTTGTTTACTCTAACGATTAAAGTTATTTTGCCTGCATACAGTACTCACATGTACAATGGGTGGTCAAAATAACAGGAACACTACAAAAAACTAAAACTACACAAAATTGAATTTTATTATACTGTGAAGTGTTCCTGTTCTTTCCTCCACTCCTAGTAACTCTACTTTTATTACAAGGTTGTTTTGTTATAAAAGAAGATAAAGGGCATTAAAGGATAACCACTGTGTTGCACAGTTACTAGCATGATCCTGTCAGTGATCTAGGAAGGTGTTTAACTTGACCTTCCCAGGTCTTGGTAACCCACTGTTGAGAATGGACATGTCTGTCTTCTGTGAGTATTTTGAAGCATTAGCAAACAGGACACACAAGTCAACCATTAAGCATAGTCTGCTCACCCAAGTCTATACCTGTCAGGAAAGAGCAGCCAGTGACAAAATATTACAAGACACAGCAACTCATAATGATAACAGAATAAAAGCAGAGCCGTGTATCTTGCAGGCACCTCTTGTAAACAATCTTCAGGTCCCTCCACTGGAGGAAGTTGCAGAAGCGTTGTGGACGGGCTAACACTAACATCATCATGTCCCGGATCACTTTCTTCTTCTCCCGGTCTGTTAATGGTGTGAACCATTTCTGCAGTCGCAGCTTCCCCTGCCGACTGAACAGCAACAGAAAGTGCATCTGAAAAGGAAGGAGGAGAGGAAAAGAGCAGAAAACAATGTGGTGTGATTTTAAGAACAGCATAAAACTGTATAAAAAAACCAGACAGGGCCAACATCTTGTGTTGCAAGGGTTAAATGCAGTTAATGTGTCAACAGGGGCAACCAAACACCGACATATAACAAAGCAGCCCCATACAGATATGTGTGCAAACACACAAAGATATACAACGATACTACCCCCCACCCTCACCACCACCACCACCACCGGCACAGTCAAAGCTGCAATAAAAACAAAACCACCCACTGGTGAGAACTACACCAAGCAGCAATTAGATTTCACATAGGAAACATAACTCTTCACTGTCACCTTTGAATGCAATAACACAATAAATACAATGCTTGTGTTGTGGAAGGGTAATTAATGAGAGCTCTTTGCCCTGAGGTGCAGCACTGCATCTGCCTGCAACAGGATAAAGCAAGACATGTGGAACAAAAAATATATCAGCTGTAGGCTCACATTAGTTTTAAGATAATGTGATGGTTTTCTGTGTAACCATGTCCTTTAAATAAACCTCAGAAAGAGCACATTTTACACAAAACGTTCCTTCACAGATTTGCATTCATTTGCCTGTCAGACATTGTTACGCTGCAGCTGTTCCTTTTCAAGCTTTTAACAAAAGTGTTTTAAATCAGATAAACCACACAGAATTCTGCTACTGCAGCTTCCACAGGTTAAAAAATTTCAGGAAATATCAGAAGCATAAAACAATCTAGAAAAATGTTCTTGCACTAACAATGGAATGACCTTTGATCAAGGAAGTCTTTCCCCCTAAAGCTGACTTTTGCAGCCTTAAAATGAAAGCTAAATCATCCCCATTCCACCAGCAGGGCTCTCACATTTTTAACAATAGCAATAAGACAAACTATAACAACTGAGTCATTTAATATTTATTATTTATTACTTCCAGATGCATGGATAAACCTCAGTAGCCTTAAGTACCGAGCAGTGAGCTCGGACACTCACCATTTTATCACAGCCGTCCGAAGTCACCCAAATTCAAATCCTACAGGCTTATAATAAACAGTACCCCCAGAATCCTACCTAGGGTATACTACTGTATCCTGTACATTTTAAGATGCGGAGACGATGTTTATCTTCCCAGAATTCAGTGCGCTCACACCTACTCCAGTCAGAGCCGCGCCCTGGCAGCTGATTGGCTACCGAGGAACGACTGTCGAAGACAGACAGGTGAGTCGGTGCGGTCAGTGGGATTCATTTCTGAGATGCTGAACAGGCAGGACAAAGGAGAGAAGGAGAGGTTTAGGGTATTAGGGTACCAACATTTAGGAGAAGTTAGAATTAGGAGATTAAAAAGTCAAAAATTACGAAATAATTCAACCATTAGCATTATGTTTCTCATGGAAAAGGTTTTATCTACTTTCTAACATTGCTTTTCTCTTAATATGAAAGAGGTTGGGGCCATTACAACAGCAAAACATTATTATTATTATCATTAATATTGTGGCGACCAAGTGAAGGGGGTTATGTTGTTAGGTATTACAGGCTGTTACGTTGTTGTCATGTCGCTTTAAGAGACTGTTGAATTATGGGGCTTCTTATGTAAGAAAAGGGGGAAGAGCCGGGGCAGAAAAACAAGTGTGTGGTTGTTACATAGACACAATATACGTGTTTATATAATATCTATGGGTTGTTACCTGTTCTGTGTGTGAGTTGCTCTACGTTGTTGAGGAAGGAAGAGAGCTAATAAAGAGTTACGGTGGAGTCTGACGAAGCTAAAAAGGCTAAACGGTGTGGATTTACCTGTCTTCATTCAACAGGTTAGTCTCCAGTTAGGCCTAGGTCACTCTAGGAATCATTACAATATTATTATTATTATCATCATCAGGTAAACTAAACTAACTACGGCGGGCATATTTGTGTCGGGGCCCCTATTTACGTGATGGTTCCGCTTCACTATAGCTAATCTCTCTGTAAAGGTATATGAGAATATATGAGAAATATTTCAAAACAAATATTTAACAATGAGCTCCATAATAACGCCTGGGAAGCCTAGTGTATATTTAGTCTCCATACGAACACTAAAAGACATCAACGGGCTGTAATTCCATGTTCATCATTGGAAGGTTATTCAGCGGTGACCTGAACGATCCTTCCTTCCCGCCGCTGGGTGGCCGATGGAGTTGTCTTCTGGAGCTACACGTGGTTCGGGCTCAGAGTAAAAGCAGAGGAGGGAGCTCAGCTCAGCGAGAGGCTCCCAGAGCAGCACCATGTCTCTGTACCGCAACTCCGCCTGGTTCCTGAAGGGACTGACCGAGTTCACCAGGTAAGATGCCTCAGCCTGTCTCCCTTAGGGTTCACGCTGCCACATCGTTGTTGTGTTTTAAGAGCTGGAGTGAGTCTGTGACCTGTTGCTGTGTCCTGTGTGTGTGTGTATACACCTCCCAGTGTGCGTGTGCATGTGGAGGAACAATCTAGTTATTGTTATTTTAGATCATTGCACAATAATAACTTTGCATGTGATGCATCACAACATCACAAGGAAAGTCAATATGGAAGAAAATGTGACTACAAATAATCATGATTTGTTTTGTTTGTTTTTTATTTGGTACATTTTATTATAATGGGAGAAAATATCACAGGATACTGTCAAAGTGTTACCATATCTAATATTGACACCAACCATTCTAACAACAAATAATCTAATCTAAATATAAAATAAATTTAGATTTACTAATGAAAACCACATGTGCTTTTCTTCATTTTTGGTTTATAAATATTTGCCACTATATTATTAGTGATGCCAACTTTGAGTTTCTGCTCATTTGAAATGAAAAACATATAGGCTGTATACTAGTATGGCTGTCTATACAAATAAGTCTTTATTTAAAGACTTTATTCAACATTTTAAAGAACCTTCTGATGAAAGTTAAACCATGATAAATAGAGCTAAACAAGTCATCAATTCATCAGTTTGCTGGTCAACAGTAAATACATCTGCAGCTATTTTTAGAACTAATCATTTTTCAAGCAGAAATGCCAAGTATTTGATTATTTCAGATTCTCAAATAAAAGGAGCTTTGGATCAGTGTAAATCAAATATATTTGGACTTTGAACTATTGTTTGGGCAAAACAAACATCTGAATAAGTTATCTTGAGAACTAGAAACTTTTAATGGCCTTAAAAAATAATAATAATAATAATTTTCTGGGTTTGCATGGACCAAGCAAGGAATCTACAAACAGAGACATCAGATCAGTTTATGATGAAAATTATTCTCTGCAGCTGTAATTTTAAGAAATATCAAAATAATATACAATATATACAGTTGGGGTAGGTCAGTGGTTGTATGAGGTGAGAAATTGTATAACCTGGATGCATTGGTAAAACTGCAGCAGGTTTTACTTCCTGCTGGCGAATACTTCTCTACCCTTTTGATCACTTACTGGAGGTTTTAGTTTTAGAGATTTCAATGCCACTGCATCACAGAACAGAGCGGAAACAGCATTCTTGAATAGCACTGATTTATGAATCGAGCAAAGCTGAAAATGACTCAGTGAGAGGCATCCAAGACCCCAAGTCAAGTTGTTTAACCTAGCAGGAGTCTAGCTCTATATCAGTCTGAGCTGTTGCAGTCTTACGGCGCCTTTCCATCAGTGTACAGCAAGCCAAGTTGTCTGAAAAGGTGCTTTTGTGGTTGTTTCCCTTCTCCCCTTTGTTCTATGTTATCTTTTCTTTCAGAGAGCTGCCTGTAGTCCCACTCTGACCCTGCACTAGGAGCTCTCTGCATGACACCATCGAACAGAGCACGCATTTAGCCTCAGTACTACCCCCTCCCTGTGCCCTTTACCCCCCCTTCAGTTGTCCTCAATAATGGCATCCAGGACAATGGGGAGAATTGAGGAACTCTGTGCCACACACACACACTAATGGTGTTGTCACCATCAGTAGGCTCACCCCAAACCCATTCTCATCAGAGACTATGCCAGGCACACTCTCTCCTTTTACTGCACAGTAAAGCTGTGAGGCGACATACAGTGAGCAGGCAGACCTGAAATGCTGACCCGTTGTGGCCTGGACACACCCAACAACACACACATAACACTGAACTGAGCACTGAGGCTGGGATATATAGTACATGCATGGGAGCGTTCTATGTGATGCAGGATGCTGATATGAAGTTACTTTA